CCCCAAAACCCCAAAACCCCAAAACCCCAGTCCAATTAAGTAATTGAAAACAGAGAATAAGAATAGAATTGTATAAATTTAAGTTATTTAAATTTCAAAGATATAAAAATGTGCATTTAAAAACACAAAATACAGCTAAAGTCTAGACTTGGAGTTACGATTGCAGCTTGGATAGTGGGCTTAGTAGTTATCATTTTATTATTGTTTGGATTAGCTTTCCTAAACAGATCATGGATGCTAGCGTTCTTCATATTGATATCTATTGTGTGTAAGTATTGTTGAATATTGACATTTTTCCTTCTTCTCGTATTCTACATCAATGCTAATTTATATTTTAGTATCTGTTTGTGTTCTGATAACTATATTTGCAAGATATGTGGACTCAGAAAAATTTCCTTTTAGCGCTTATTTCAACATTGGAATGACTTATTTCTATTCTCTTATGTCAATGGGCATTCTAGCAGTTGATCTTGGCTTTAGTCTTTATAACAGAGAATATAACCTGACTGAAGAATAAGAAAGTTATACATCCCTAATGGAGGCATTGTGGAACGTAATCTATTGGGGATCTCTACTTCATGGATCAATTCTAAACAAGTTTTACTAAAAGTACTGGACAAGTGGACATTTCTCAATGGGAACAAGAATCAAATAATCAATAAAAGTAAGATATAGAGCATAATTTAATCATTATTTAGAATCTGATCAAGTTAATTGTCATGGGAGTCGTTGCATTAGCTATTTTCGGATTAATTGCTTATTTTGTAATTGGATTGAGTGGAATTAATGGAGTAAAAGGAGCTTTACTGATTATGTCTAATGTATACAGTATGCTGGTATTGGTTATTTTACTGGCTTATGGACTTTTCAATTTACCAGTATTTCTTTGGAAATATGGAGATAACAAAAATAGTCTATTTGCAGAACTCGAAAGAGCCGAAGATATCAGAAAATAATACAGAACTTCTCTAGTTGATTTCCACACTCAAGTGAGCTAGTGCAAGAATCTTGCTACGAATCATAGAACTGAAAAAAATTAAAATCTAATGGATATTCTTTTAAAAGAGTTGCCAGAAAAGGATTTAGAAGGTCAAAGTATAGGGCATTCAAATTACTTTAAGATTGAATTAAAGAAGGGCTAAGAGGTAACTGAGGATTTTATAGCCAATATTAGATATCAATTCATGCTAGCATTCTTCATGTATAAAAGAAAGAAAGCAAAGTGGCTAACAGTTTTCAATCGAGTAGAATCCTTAATAGAAAAGCCAGTAAGCTACTCAGAAAGCCATTTAAGGCCATTGTAAAACTAAAACTTTGAAAATATGAAATTAGAGGATTTGGTCTTGAAAGCAAAGCCAAATTAAGTCAAGAAATTGATTCTATATCGCATTCTTGCAGTATTATCATTTATGTTTTGCCTGCTAGTTATTATTACAGAAGCTACTGTCATATTTGATCCTGAAAAAACCATAGTTTACTTTGTAAGTATTTACAGTATTTTCTTAATTATTATAGATCGTTGTTAAGAACTCGTCTCAAACTTTCCTTGTTGTTATCTTCACAATTTTCTTCCTATCTGGAATCACACTAGTTTGCTTTTTCACTATATTCAATCTGAAGATGTCAGACTATCTCCAGCTTGTACCTAAGCATACTGATTGTATAACATTTTCTTCTATCACAGCTCTTTGTTGTAAAATAGTGGTAAGTTAGTATTATTAATCTTAACTATTAACTTTTAGACTGTTTCTTGTTTTAATTATATGACTTTGATTGGTGAGATTGCGCCAGGTAAAGATGCTGACTTATTCAGTACAAGTTATGTAGATTTCTACTCATCCATGATAAATGTACCTTTCTTTGGTAAATACTTCAACACTATCATGCCACTCTTTATTATTATCTTTGGACTACTTTTTGCTGCACTCTCAGTCCTTAAACTTTAAAATAAAGCTTTGAAATCTTTCTAGAATATAAGCAAGAGTAAAGAGGAAAAAGAGGATGATAAAAAATCCTCTAAAGAGAAGAAGGTAGATCCAAATTTAGCCTTAAAAGAGAAGATCATTAGAGGAGAACGGGCTATTGTTGCAGAAATCGATCTTATCAAGAAAAAGGAAGAGAGGAATAAACTGCTGAAATATAATGTGAAACCCTAATCGTAACTTGAAGATGAGGAAAGTGCTAAAGCATCAAAGAAAGGAAAGAAAAATGAAGGTAAGTAGGTTAAGGAAAACGTAAAATCAGCTAAAAATGCTAAGAAAAATACTAAAATTGAGTAGAATCCCTCTATTATTGATGAAGAGTATAACTCATCTTCAATAAATAGGAACTCAAATAGTGATTCTGAATCTGAGGAAATAAAAACAGATTTTAAGCCTGATAAAAAGAATAGATTCAATGAAATGAACAATAACAATTAATCAGATAAAGTCAACATATTTAAAAAGCAAAAGTTTAATGATGAGATAACGGAGAAGCTCCTGCCTGGAAATTAAAAACCATCTAGTGGCAACAATAGTAGAAAGGTATCTCAAGATGAGTCTGGTAGTGCTGATGATGTTAGCAGAGTCTCAAGTTTCCAAAGCAGTACAAGTGAAGATGGACTTTCTTCTAAAAGGGCTTCAGGCAGAAGAAAGAAAAACTTTAATAAAGAGGGCTATCTAATGAAGAGAAAAACCAAAGCAATATTTGGAATTGCGTAGTGGAACAAAAGGTTTGCTGTTCTTGATAACGAGTAACTTATTTTATATGAAGATCACACAAAGAAGCAACCTAGAAAGCACATTGATATGGCCAAGGTGAAGGCTGTAACTTTTCATTACGATGAAAATGCCCCTGTCAAGTCAAAGAAATTATCAAAGAAGGAGAAAGACGAAAGTAGATTCGATATGTATACTCCAAACAGAACTTATATGTTCAAACCAGAGGGCAACAGTGTAATAGAGAGTGAGTGGTGGGTAAGAATTTTAAGAGAATGTGCAAGAGCACACAACTCTAATTTCACTAATAATGTTGACAGCTGAGACAGCATTAGTTACTATCAAAATGGTGGGAGATCTATGAAATATATTATCATATAGAATTTAGATAAAAATTCAATGAATAGATTAGATTCTAAGTTATAATTACTACTAATTCTCACTTCTTCTTCTTTTTTACTTGTGATTTAGATCTCATACTGGAGGATGTTGTCTTCATTACACTCTAATTCTCACAATCTTACTTTGATTAATCGCCGTTTGCTGCAGCTGTACTAGGCTTTGGGTCCTTTGCTTTCTTCTTTTTCTCTTCTTTAACATCTTTAGTCTTTTGTTTCTCTGTCTTCGATCTCTTGATTCTTTGAATGTTCATTTTGAGTTCTTTGAAATAATTTCTCATACCCATTCTTCTCTTGAATAACTCATAGTCACTATCACCATCTTCAATACCCTCAATTCTTCTTAAACATGCTCTTGTGAAAGTATCTTGATCAACTTGTAGAGATTCTATTATAGCCTTGAGAACTCTAAGGAACTTTATGTGATTGTGATATATCTTCATCCTCTAGATATTATGTTGATGAATAAAACGCATCTTATAATCCTATTCTTGCTCAAACATCTTAATTTCTTATTCTAAAGAGTGATACTTAAAGAGTTCTCTTTTACCAAAGGATTCCAAAAGATCAATAGCGAAATCTATTATAATCAATTCATAGTCAATGACTCTTGGTGAGGATACCATTAGGAACTATGAGTCTGCTCCATTATAGTTGTTTTGTAAAACTGATCTCAAGTATGCGAAAAAGCCCTCACTTACTCTGTATGATTTGACCTTCATTACCTCAGTGGTTGTATCTATATTTTCTCTATCTTCAAGTATCTTTTGATCTGGAAGGAGATCTTAAGCAAGATTAATCTGTTCTTTGGGGTTAGTTCCAATAATGACTCTAAATTCTAAGGAATTATATTGATTATTCTCATCCAACACGAATCCATAACTATTAATATAAATATTGAATGGAATAGATAGTTTACTTTTCCAAAAGATAGGCATTTGTTCTTCTACCATAGTTATAGTAAATCTGCTCTCCAGCTTTGATAGTTCTATGATTCTTGTTAATCATCACAAAGTAGTTGTCGCTATCATTATCTTGCCACCATCTATATGAATATATCTCTCTCAGTCGAGTGTTACTACTGATAGTTTCAAACTCATCCATACCAAAGTCTTCAGGAGATCCCTAATCATGCAATATCTTTCTCTTTAGTTCCTCATTCATAGCTGCTTCCTCAGCATCTTCCTCTTCATCATCTTAATCATCATCCTACTCATAGTCACTGCTCACATAACCGATTCCCCAAAGCTCCATCCCATGATCTGGAAACTTTTCTTTTTTATGCTCCTCAGTTTCATCCTCATCATTGTTATTTATCTCTGATTTAAGTAAACTCTTGAATCGTTCAAACACCTCCTATTCATCGTATCTGTCTTTAATTTCTTCTTGAGTAGGTTGATCACCTTCAATCAGTTTTAATTTATTTGAATCAGATGATATATCTTAATCTTCCTTAAAAAGTCTTTTGATGTTGTACTTGAATTTGGACGTCGATTTATCATACTAATCATCAATGCCTGTAGAAGAACTGTCCACATCAAAGTTAAATTGATAGCCATAAATCTTATTCTGCATAACATGCAATCTTTTATTAACAAAGTCAATCATATTTCCTGACTTTGAACTATGATTGAATGAGTCAGCAATGGGTGCTAGAATAGTAGTAGGCAAGCCCCATCCAAAACATCTTGTGGCTATGAAGCAAGCTGCTTTCTTAAACATCTCATAATTACATATCTCTGGATTGAAATAATCTGGGTAAACTCTCATTACTTTGTGGACTTAGTCCCATTCCTCTTCCATACTTTCTTTGTAAGCTGAAATCTGCTCTTTTAATTCATTATCGCTAAGTGCATTTATGTAATTCTCTTCCCAATAGCATGTGAGTTAGCCTGGATCAACAGCTTAGAAATAAGGATGCCAGAAAGACTCCTCCCCTTTCTGGAATTCAAACATCAGAAAAGTTAAAATTGTCAAAAAATCTCTATCTGGATTAGACTTGTACAAATTATCATGATTATCAAACATAAAACCTATTTCTGAGGATAGAGCTCTTTCTACTGTTATGAGGCATCTGTTTGGAACATATACAAATGCTTCATTATACTCTATATCAGTCTTTGCAGCAGATCCCATAAAATAAGAATGGTCAGGCCCAAATGCAGCTGGGAAATGCAGTTTATCCATAATAACTCCGTTTTTCTGTGCCCATTCAATATATGACTTTAGCTTAGGATCATTTTAATATCTCATTGTAATTTTTTCATTGAAAACCTCTTCTTTGCTCATATCTTTAGCTTTACTTTGCAAGTTTTAGTATCCCTATTTAAATTCAAAATTTTAAATCTATAATTTCCACTAATAACTCTGATATATTAGTCAAGGGGTTTTGGGGTTTTGGGGTTTTGGGGTTTTGGGG